TGGCTGACACCTCCTTTGGAGCAGCCACGTGACTTACTTCCTTACCATTCTTTCCTGCATAACTGCGGTTAAAGCCATGTTGATTGACATGTGGCAAGGAGTCAGCATCTGTCCCATGGAAGAGCAGCTGCTCATTTTGTGTATTGCCATTCTTATCATCCATGGTTTTTTTCTTTGTCTGGTAGTGCTGCCAGAGACTTGGATTCTGGATTCTCTCAATCTGCAAATCAATAAGGAAAAACATTCTGTCAGTGCCAAGGGCCTGTGTCAGATACAGCAAATGAAACATGATCCCTATTTTTTTGTTGTTTTAATCCTCACCTGAGGATCTGTTTAGAAAGAGGAAGGGGAAAAACAGAGATAGAGATAGAGATAGAGATAGAGATAGAGATAGAGATAGGTGTGGGAGGGCATTGATGTGAGAGAGAAACATCGATCTATTGCCTCCCATATATGCCCAAAGAAGACTCAAAACCACAGCCTAGGTATGTGCCCTGACCAGGAATCAAACCCAAAACGTTTTGGTGTTCCAGATGGCACTCCAACCAATGGATCCACCACTGGCCAGGGCATGACCACTATTTTTTATAAGTAAAAATTCAGCGAATTCAATGCCAGATGGCAGCTCTCTGCATTCAGAAATCTTTTTAGATCCACTGCTACACAAAACAGGCCTTGGAAAAAAAGTTGTTTTAATTTTTAACATCTTTTATGCACCACATGCAGCAAGCAATATTTAGGATCTTGGACGACCAAGGCAGCTCAACTCCTGCTTCTTACTTTCGCTGTAATTACTGCTCCTGTTGCAGTCTATCCCTCTTTGTCCCTTTGCCTCTCTCCTCTTCAGTCCTTTTAAGATATTGGTTTACCTAGCCAAGTTCTAACCACGGGAGAAGCACTAGAGTGTCTAGGCAAGAAGGAAATTAGTTCATGAAAACTAATCTCTCATCCAATTGTAAGAGTGGGGCATGAATCCTGGTGACAGGGAGCCTGGCTGTAGACCAAAGTGGCCATGCTTTTTCTTTTCTAATTTATTTTTCAATTACAGTTTACATTCAATATCATTCTCTACAAGTTTCAGGTACATAACAAAGTAGTTAAAAATTATGTACTTTACAGAGTGGTCCCCCTGCTGCGTCAAGTACCCACCTAGTCCTATACCCATTTATCTCGATATTATGGACTATATTCCCTACACTGTAATCTACACCTCTGTGGCTATTCTGCAACTAGCAATTTGTACTTCTTAATCCCTTCACCTTTGTCACCAGGTACCCCAATACCCTCTCCTCGAACAGCTATCAGTCTGTCATCTTTATCTATGAGTCTGTTTCTATTTTGTTTGTTTATTTTATTCACTAGATTCCACATGTAAGTGAAATCATATGGCATTTGTCTTTCTCTGACTTTTTTCAGTTAGCATAATCCCCTCTAGTTCCATTCATGCTGGTGTAAAAGGTAAGATTTCCTTCTTTTTTACAGCCCACAGAAGTATTCCAATGTGTAAATGTACTGCCACTTTCTTATCCACTCATCTACGGATGCGCACTTGGGCTGCTTCCAAATCTTGGCTATTGTAAATACTGCTGCAATGAATATAGGGGTGCATATAAATTCTTTCAAACCAGTGTTTCTAGTTTCTTTACATATATTCCCAGAAGTGGGATCACTGGGTCATAAGGCAATTCCATTTTTAATTTTTTGAGAAACCTCCACACCATTTTCCATAGTGGCTACACCAATCTGCATTTCAAAGTGGCCATGCTCTGACCATCCTCTTTGTGGTTCCAGGGCTGTGGTGAAAACTCCTTGGATCCTGGATTGCAGATCAGCCTCAGAACTTCCCTAATCAATAGGTAGTGGTAGTTCCATAAAGTTGTCAGAATCTTCTTCCATTCTAAAGGACTCTCAGTTCTAATACTGTTACCTGCCATCTTTTGGTTGGTTTGTTTTTTCAGTTTTAGGATTCCTATTTTTTCATTAAGATACAGTTTGACCTCTAGCTCAAAGTCTCTGCATTATCATGCTTTTTGTTAATCTGATTTGTGATTTTAAAATTTATTTTTCTTTTTATCTACAATTAAGTTTCTAATCTTTAAACTGTCTACTTCCATTTTTTTCTGTTTACCTTGAATTTTATTTCTTTTACTCATCTTCCAAAAGCCTTAAAAATTTCATCTTAAAGAGTTTTGAAATAATTCTTACTCCTTAGTCTTTTCATTCTTGCTCCTCACCTTTTTCTTAGTATATGTGCTGCTGAAGCTAGAACCCAGCTTTCTAAAATTTAATAACCACACAAAGAAAATAATTACTTCAAGAAGTTTTAAAAACAGCAATCTGATTCTATATTCCTAATGGGATAAATTATAAAGTTAAAAAAAACACTGCAAGTAAATCTTAAAACTTTACTTAGTAGGTTTATGTTAGCAGCAGGCTCCTGGCTGTTTTAAACTATTTGTATCAGACCAATCCTCTTGCCAACAACTATTAGAAGGGCTTGGGGGTGAGGGGGATAGCTGTTTGAAGGCAACAAGGACTTAACGGACCAAATTCCAAGATAGAAGGGTAGTGCAGAGTGAAAAAAAAGTCAGAAGATAATAGAATAGCACCTTCAAAGTGCTTAAAGAAAATAACTGTCACCCGGAACTCTACAGCCAGCAAAAATATCCTTCAAAGAATGAAAGTGAAATGAAGACATTTTCAGACAAAAACTTAGACTACCAGAAACATCACAACCAGATCTACACCTGAAAGAAAAGTCAAAGCAGAAGGAAAATGATCCCAAGGTGTAGACATGTAAATGCAAGAAAAATGGAAGGGCAGTAGGCTAAAAGGGTAAATATATAATGACTGTATTAAAACATTAAAATGTTTTATAGGGTTTCAAATATACATAGAATTAAAATACAGGTAAAAGTAGTATAAGAGGCAGGAGGGGTAAATGGTTTAAAGTGTTCAAAGTTCATTACATTGTTTGGGAAATTTGCACGAGAGTTTAATAATCCCTAAGTAACCAATGACAGGATTATAATAGGATATATAATGAACATTTTAATAGGGCATAAAAATGAAATGATAAAAATACTTAATGTAATATAAGGTAGGAAAAGAGAGAACAGGAGCAGAGTAGAAGTGATACATAGGAAAAAAGATTAATATGGCATGTTTAAACCCAAACATATCAGTAAATTCATTAAACAGACTAAGTACTCCAATTAAAAGATAAAGATTGACCCAGCCAGGGTGGCTCAGTGCTTGAGCATCCACCCTTGAACCAGAAGGTTGAGGTTTGATTCTGGTAAGTGCACATGCCTGGGTTGTGGGCTCTATCCCCAGTAGAGAACATGCAGGAGGCAGCCAATCAATGATTCTCTCTCATCACTGATGTTTCTATCCTTCTCTCTTCTTCTCTCTGAAATCATTAAAAACATATTTTAAAAAAGATAAAAATGGTCCAAATGGATGAATAAAAAAACAAAACTCAAGTATATGCTATTATCTTAAATACACAGTTATAGGAAGTTGAAAAGGAAAAGGGTTAGGGATGCCAACAATAACCAAAAGAAGGAGGAAGAAGATGGCTTTCCCTGCTGCAAGACAATTTATGTCCCCTTATGTCCCTTGATCCTTTCATGCTGCTGCCCCAGCGCTGGAGCTCAGAAGTAATGAGTCTAAGTCCATGCATGGGCCCTTTAAGAGGAACTGCCTGGGATTCCAGTAGCCTCCGTGTCACTCAGACACAATGCCCGCTGGTTTTTATAGCTGGATAGAGGTCATGGGAGTTCTCTTCTCAGCAATGGAACCCTGGGCTTGGGGCCTGGTATTGTGCTGGGACCTCTTGTTCCTCATGGGATTCCTCCTCAACCAAGATGTCCCTCCCAATTAAAAACATGCCACAGGTGGGTGTCAGACCAGCCCATTCTGCACCTCACCTTTCCTACCAGTCTCAATGTGCTTTCTTCTTTAATTCTCTAGATGTAGGACTTCCATTCAGCAGATTTCAGGGGGTTGTGAATGATGGTTGTTCTGTATTTTAGTTGTAATTTTGATGTGGTTGTAGGAGGATGCAAGTGCCAGCGTTTTCCTTTGCCACTATCTTGGTTTCTCCCTGGTATATATCTCTTAGGACATTTCAAATCTTTTCTGAATTATTATGTGCTTAATTACATGAATAGACAGAATGGGAGAGAGTACCACAAATGGGGCCAAAAGACACCGGCACCCTTGAATTGGCAACAGAAAGGTGACAACATAATAGAGGAAATCAGGATTCCAGGCCAGGGCAGTAAATAGCAATGTAGTCTGGCTGCACAGCACAGGGAGGCCAGGCTGAGAACTAGGCCTCTGAAGTCTGGAGCAATGCTAAGACTTTGGTGTTCTCCAGTCACTTAACATATAAATGCACTTGTCTCAGGTTCACTCTCTTGCGAGAAGCAGCTGGAGTTCATCAGAGCATCCCCTCACATTGGTGTTTGGGGCGTGGCCCCAGTTCTAAAGAGCAGTTGTGGCCATGCAAATGGAAAGTAAAAGAAAATTTGCAAAGACAGGAATTGTAGACCTTATTGGCACACTCATTATTAAGGATGAAGAGAAGGAACTCAAAATCTCAAGCTTTGGGAGGTCAATCAGGAAAAAAGAAGACATGTAAAACTAGACCAAAAAAAATCTCTAGCTTTACTCAGGGAGTGGTGGAACCTATGTCAGAAAAGAGAAGGAAGGGGAAGATAATTACTTAGAGATGATGAGTTAAGTTTTAGGAAATTGATTTAGCAGATAGATAATCAAGTGGAGATATTTTTAGTCCACTGGGAATATGTTCTAGAGCTAGAGTCAAAGATCCAGATTGGTGATATGTTGATTTGAGAGCTATTAACATTAAAATAATAGCTGCATCCATGAAGGGTAAAAACATTCCCTGGTGAAGTGCAGAGACAGAAGACCAAAGTATAAATCCTGTGGGTAGAGCTAGGATGAGAGCTTTGGAGGAAAAACAGATACCAGTGATAACGAATTAATTAATGGAGAAGAAAACATCAAAGTATTATTGCCATAGAAGTCAAGAAAGAACACAAATATCAAATAGAAAAATTAATTTTTAAGAGTAGGAGATTCCAAAATACTCGTCAATGAGATGAACAGTGAAAGGAATAGGTTTATTAAGGAAGCAAGCACTGTTGGCCTGTGAACACTGGGGCAAAGGCACATAACCCAACCCTGAGGAGCCTTCACCGGTCTCTCTGTGGTCGTTTGCTTCTTATCAACTCCAACTTTGAAGCCATACTTTGAATTTTTATTAGCTTGCTTCACAAAGGAAATATATGTCTTCAGTATTCTAATATCATATTGCAGTCTGTTATCTTGTAATAACTGGATTAAAAATCTCAGTATTAATGTCTCAGGAATTATGGGGAGATGAGGAAAATCTAGAATCTAAAATCTAATTACCATGAAATATTCTAATTCTGGGTTAAAAATATGATAGGAAGTGAATATAAATGTATTTATCCAGGAACATGATACTCCTTATGTTCACCATTAAGAAACTCCATGTCATCAGAATGCTTACCTTCTCTATCTTGAATTGTGAGCAGGTCTGATTGAAGGCATCTGCCACTTTGCTGTATTCTGGTTGGCCAGGCTGTAGCTCAACCAGACAGACACGCTGCTGCTTCATATCACTCCAGTGTCCAGGGATCTCAACTGCAAAGTAGACATTTGAGGACACTCTGTACCCAGGAAGGCTCATCTACACAGTCCCCCTCCCTGGTATGCTTCAAAAAACCGAATATCATGTGTGTTCTTCTTTTACAATCCCCTGATTCAATGTATTCAATGCATTTCTTATATTTTTAGGAGAATGTTTTTCAAAGTGTAGACCACAGACTACCACAGAACCAACTGTAATGCTTATTAAAACACACACACACACACACACACACACACACACATCAATCAAATCAAAATCTCTGAGGGATGGAACCTGTGTCCCTACATCTTCACAAGTTTTGATCATTCATGCCCAGATACGAGAAATGCTGGTGCAGTGTGAATACACTGCATATTCTGCTCAGTTTCCAATCTGTCATAATTCAATAATCAATTATTCCCTGCGATGTTTTAAATAGTCGCTATTCTCTTGTTTACAAATGCATGGATTTTTGCTAGAGCTCCCACCACAAGGCCATCCACATCTGTTCTTTCGTTATTCTTCACACCATCCTTAAGAGTTGAGTGGGTGGGTGGGTTTTGCTATGTGGCAGTTTGTGGGGGCAGCTCCATCTCCTCTTCTGCTAAATGAAATTTTATTCTTGAGTTCTCATTGCCCCAGGGTTGCTCAGGGTGTGAGGAATTCATTCCAACTGATCTCCCAAAAGATGAAGAGAAGGTACTGAAAGGGAAGCCATTTTTACTAGTTTTCAGTGGGGGACTTCTGTGGTTGGAAGTCTGTCTCACCTCTATACGAGACAAGCATTCCCTTCTCAGAAGCAGATCCAGTCAGAGAATCTGAGGCTGCTTCCTCTGTGTGTGTCTAGGAACTTTATTTTCAGGGCAGAGGAGGCAGTGACTCCTGGGAGATCCTGAAGGCTCCGGGGCCTCTCTGGGTACCAATCACAGAGTCAGAAAGTGCCCACTTTCTGACCAGGCTGTCTTCCCCATTTTGTTCTAAATAAAACCTTGGGCCACGTTTCTTTAAAGCCCATGGCTGTCCCTCTCCGGACTGAAACAGCCATTACTTCCCAGAAGAACTAGCTCTAGGAAGCTTGCAAACTACAAAAAGGCAAGGTTTGGCTATGTTACCACTAAGATGGTCATACTTAGGATGTTGGGCTCACCCAGACTGTATTTTCCCGACCTTAATGTAAACTCCATAAGTTTTCTATTTTAATGCATAAGAGTTACTTGAATTCTATCTACTTGACTACAATGTTGATAGACGTACAAAATAGTGTTAAGCCCAAAGTAAGTCTAAAATAGTGGATAACAAGCGTGATAGTTTGACTCACCTTGAGGTTTTGTGATGCGCTGAATTTGTAAACTGTGTCCGTTTGCATCTGTAGCAATGCATGCTTTCATGTCCACTGTGTAGTTCTGATTATTAATTTGGACATCAACTGTTTTTCCCTGTTTTTTTCTTGCCTCCTCCAATTTCATATTGGTTATTTTGTCAAAACTACGATAAGTGTTATTGTCGTCATATTGCCATTCTACAAACTCAGTGATATAATCTGCTCTGGATTCCTGCTCTTTGGCTGATCTAACTGTCTTGATCATCTCCTCAACTGCATTTCTAGCCTGTTCCACATCTCTGCTAATTCCTGAAACCTTAATCAAAGGTTTCTGATGGTCCAATTCCACCAAAATATTCAAGTCCTTCTGCAGCTTATTCAATTCCTGATATTCCTTTTCATCAAAGTCTCTGATACATTCCTCTTCACTGGTGTAAAGACTCTGTTCCTTTTCCATCAGATTCTGTAGGCAGGAGAGGGCGTTTTGTACAGATGTTTCATTTTCACCACACACCTGAAAAATTGCTGATTCCGTTTTCTTCTCCAAAACCAAAGGCTTTTGTTTGGGGGAAGGTTGCTTTGAGAAGCCCAAAAATGCTAAAACAGAAACACAAGGGAATGCAACAATTGTTTGGATTTAAAAAGAAAAAAAATGTTTAGCTATTAGCTGTTTCTCCATTTCTTTCTCCTTTGCTCTGTTCCTCCCTCCCTACCTTCTTTCCTTCTTTTTGCTTTTATAGTTGCCATGCTGCATATCACATTTGTAGGACTTATTAATCTTATAATTGGAAGTGTGTACCTTTTGACCACTTTCACCCATTTTGCCCACCTACCACCACCCCACCTTTGGCAACCACCAATCTATTCTCTGTATCTGAATTCAGGTTTTTTTAGATTCCACAGATTAGACTTATTATACACTATTTGTCTTTCTCTGTCTGACATTTCATTTAGCATAATGCCCTCAAGGTCCCTCCATGTTGGTGCAAATGACAGGATTTCCTTTTTTATGACTGAATAATATTCCATCATCTATGCAGGATTAGGCAAAAGGAGGTTTACAGTTGTTCATATGGAAAATCTATACATATAAAAGCCTAAGGGACTGTTCCAACCAGATGACCAGCCCGTAGCTATGACATGCACTGACCATCAGGGGTCAGTGTACTTCCACAGCCAAGCTGCCATGACCAGCCAAACTCCCGCAGCCCCAATCACCGGCCAGGCCAAAGGACGCCACCTGTGCATGAATTCGTGCACCTGTCCTCTAGTAATACAATAATTTATAAGTAGTTATACAAGAATAAACTAAGTTTCACATACTCACAACTATAAACCTACTTTTGCCCCACCCTGTATATACCACATCTTTATCCATTTATTTTGCCAATGTTGTTGTTTCCATGTCTTGGCTATCTCAATACTGCTTCAATAAAATATGGGGCAGCAGATATCTTTTAGAGATAATGATTTCATTTCCTTCAGATAAATACCCAGAAGTGTAACTACTGGATCATGTGTTAGTTATATTTTTAATTTTTTTAGAAAACTCCTACTATTTCCCATAGTGGCTGTACCAGTTTACATTCCCGGTGCACAAGGATTCTGTTTTCTCCACATTTTTGTCAACACTTATTTTTTGTCTTTTCCATAATAGCATTCTAATATGTGTGAAGTGATAGCTCATTATTATTTTCATTTGCATTTCCCTGATGATTAGTGATGCTAAGCACCTTTTCATGTACCTGTTGGCCATTTGTATATCGTCTTTGGAAAAAATATGTCTATTCATATCCTCTGTGAATTTTTAAATTGGATTGTTTGGTTTTTTTCTATTGAGTTGTATGAGTTCTTTATATATTTTTTATATTAACCCCTAATCAGGTATATGACTTGCAAATATTTTCTCTCAATCAGTAGAAAAATATTGATGGTTTTCTTTGCTCTACAGAAGCTTTTTTGTTTGATATATTCCCACTTGTTTATTTTTGTTTTTGCTGTGTGTGATTTTGGTGTCAAATCCAAAAAATTATTGTCAAGACTGATGTTAATAAGCTTATCCCTTATGTTTTCTTTTAGACGTTTTATGGTTTCAGGTCTTACATTCAAGTCTTTAATCTATTTTGAGTGGATTTTGGTGTATGGTGAAAGATAGTGGCCAGTTTCATTCTTTTGCATGGCTGTCCAGTTTTCCCAACACCATTTATTTTATCACTAGAGGCCTGGTGCACAAATTCGTGCACAGCTGGGGTGCCGTGGCCTGACCTTCTCACCCAGTCCTGATCAGGGCCAATCTGGGCTGGCCTCCATGGGGGAGGGACCGCAGGAGGTTGGTCTTGGGAGCGCACTGACCACCAGGGGGCAGTTCCTGTGTTGAGCATCTCCCCTGGTGGTCAATGCGTGTCATAGTGACTGGTCAACCAGTCATTCAGTCAACCAGTCGTATCAGTCACTTAGACTTTTATTTATATAGATATGTGCTACTTAAGTAGGTGCCCAACACTATTTATTAAAGAAACTACC